ATTTCTGAGGTAAGAAGGCACCACATACCTGTTCAACTAAGAAAACCACCCTTACAACACAGGATGATTTTATTTTTACATAGGACCTAGAACACTTAAGCTGCCAATTAGGTGCTGAATGGCAGAGCAACATCCCCAGTTTATGCCATGAATTCATAGGGAATGGGTTCCAACAATTCAGGTTCCTTTCCATTGGTCCTCACAAAGTCTGCTTCTCTGGGAGGGACAGGCTGATGCTTCAGTTGAATCCAGGTACCGTTCTCTTTGGCTTCCTTCTTTTTCTGATCATTTTTCCTTGACATGTTTCAGGAAGCTATCATGACTTTTTGAGCGTTTAATATGCTCATTACGCACATTAATCCTCTTGGCAAGTATCTTGCCCTTAACTTGCTTGTTTAAAACAATGCTAACAGCATGCTGAGTAACGTTGTAGACTCTTCCCATTTTTTCATGGTAATACTTGTGAGGCATTCCTTTTTGCATAGTACCCATTCCCTCAATGTCTATGTTATCACCCTTTTTGTAGACTTGCATGTATGTGACCAAAGGAACAATCCCATGTTTTCTAAAAGGCCTGGAAAATACATACTGTGTTCCCCTCCTCTTGCCCTCTGTGTTAGTCATTTTGGCAAATTACTAGAAGATGGCGGTTCCGGCCAAAAGGCAGGTCATCACTTTCTACCCAGTGTGGATGCATGTGCACACAAATGTACACATGGGCATGGGAGGGAGTACTTTCTGCCCACATTACATAGGTATGCAGACCCAGACATAGGTATGCAGACCCAGAAGAGACAGGGGGTTGTCACTTTACAGAAAAGCATCAAAGTAGCTGGGCAGCATGGTACACACCTATACTATGGAGGCTAAGGTAGGAAGACAGCAAATTCAAACCCAGCCTGGGCAATTTTGCGACATGGAGGAGTGGACTGGCATGACTAAGCAGCACTTCCACCTAGGACATACGCACAGCATACTGAGGGCTGTGTGTGGACAGAGGGCTCTCACAGCCCGGGAAGAAAGGTTGCAGCAGATCTTCCAACAAATATTTAACTACTATCAGCAAGGTACAAAGGAAAGAAGACTGAATGGGCCACCAGCCACTCAGCAGCAAGCCAGGAGAACAGGAGAGAGAAACCTGGAGAACAAATCTTACAATATGGTTGTAGGTCTTCAACAAATCTGCCCTCACCTTTCTCCTCTGAATTCAGAGGTGATAAAACTGCCAAAATTGTAATCAGAGACTTCTGCTGCCATAATAGCTATTCCTAAATATCCTGCGGCAGCAAAATACTTAGTTCAAACGCTAGATTACAGAGTTTAAAAATATACTTTAAAAACACTGCTAACTTCTAAGAAAAGTAAAGAAACTCCCAGATGCCCAAATGCCTGCAGTCTAGTCAGCAAGAACAGAAGGGACACAGCTCAAGAGCTGCCCTTGGCCCAACATCATGATTAGCAACTTGAGGTTTGGGGCTGGTAGTCATTGACTGGGCAAAGGGAGACAAAGTCTTGAGCATTTCTGCCCAAAGCAGGCTACTGAGCCTGAAACTCCCACATAATGCCTAATGGCTGAAGAATATTTAAACTGTAGGAGAGATTCCAAAAGCTGAATAGGAACTAAGCAGAAACCCTGCCTGCCGCCGCCCACTACATACATTGAAGTTGTAAGCAGCGGTCTGCTCTGCCATGTGTCTTAGGGATGGCACCCAGAATGCTACCGGGTGTAGAACACCCAAAGACAGAAATGCTCTCAGAAGAATTCCAGCTCTACTACACCCCCTTGTGCCCACAGAAGCAAACGCAAGGCTCCTCTGCAGAAAGGCCACTAAATACAAATGCTTCAGGATTCCCCAAAAGCAAGTCTGGTAAAATAGGTCTTCTCAAAAAGAAAACCCCCAAGTCTCTGTGAACAAGGACATAGAGAGATGATGAATGGATTGAAATGTAAGCCCAGGATTTGGGTACTGAAATTTCTCAAGATGCAAACTGAGGAGAGTACATCAGAAACCTTTCAGGAAGGAGCAAGAACAGACTCCTGAGAGTGTTCAACATCAAAAACCAGATTTGAGGGGCCAGGGAGATAGCTCAGTAAAATAAGTGCTTGCCTGGCAAGCACAAGGTCCTGAGTTCAATCCCCAGTTCCACAAAAAAAACCCATATTTGAAAAGAAATCATCACATCAGAAAGAACGGCTATCATAAGAGAAATCAACCAACAACAAATGTTGGAGAGGCTGTGGGGAAAAAGGAACACTTCTCCACTGCTGGTGGGAATGTAGACTGGTGCAACCATCATGGAAATCAGTGTGGAGACTCCTTAGAAAAGTAGGACTGGAAATCTCATTTAAACCAGCTATTCCTCTACTAGGAATTTTCCCGGAGGATCTGAAAACATCATATCATAGGGATATATGTGTGCTTATGTTTATAGCAGCACAATCTGTGATAGCCAAATCTTGGAAACAACCAAGATGCCCATCACCTGAGGAATGGTTGAAAAAGATGTGGTATTTTT